ATACTTTTGCATATGTACATTACTAATTCAATTACATTTCCATGTCCCTAAAAAAATACTGTAGCTAAGAATTGCTTGTTATTCATTTATCTGAACATATCTAGTGCCTGCAAACTGCAGTTCTAGAATTAGTGACAGCCTATGGACATATTGTTCAACCCATATTATGCAAAATTAGGTCATTAAAATGCTGAATGGGATGCTTGCAATTGGAATGAACCTAATGGGATGCTTTCTATTGATTATAACTGAAGCAGAAACAGTCCTGGTCCCATAGAGTGCATCCCAAAAGCCCTAAGTTTATACAGTCATTAAGTTAAAATAATTTATAAAAGCAGAAAGAAGAAAAAAAAAAAAGGAATAGGCAAAAGAGAGGAGAAGAAGTTTAGCTAGCATTTTTAAGGCTATGAAATAGAGGCCTACAAGGGAGCCACTGCACATGTCAAGAGTTGCCATTGAAAGGCACCTATTTCAAGACTACATGAAGATGGCATGAGCTATACATGCTGTACATCAGACAGTGTGTTACATGGTACATGTGCAGACAAAGAGTAATCAGAAGAACAAAGGAAACCTCATAAATAAGGATGTATGCTTTATGAATGAGGACTAACAAAAGGTCTGAGCCAAAAGTGGGCATAAAGCTGAACTTGAGGATGGTCATCTTGCCCTTGAGAAATTTTGCTGATAATATGACATTTAGCAAAAGGTAGCTAAGGGGAACTCAAGGCTGTAGGTTATAGCTGTCTTGGTCTAAGGACATAGGCAGACAAGGTTTTTTGGGTGAATCTGATAACTTTTATTAGACCAACATAAGAAGCTGGAAAAAAAAAATTTAAGCAAGCTTTCAGGTTTAAAAAACCTTTGTCAGGCTGAGGAAGTTACAGCAGTTAGTAGAACTGCATCCAGGAAGATTACACCAACTGCTGTAACTTCCTCAGCCTGACGAAGGGTTTTTGAACCTGAAAGCTTGCTTAAATTTTTTTTTTCCAGCTTCTTATGTTGGTCTAATAAAAGATATCATATTCACCCAAAGAACCTAGTCTGCCTAAGGTGAACTCAGAAATGTACATGGCAAATACAGGCTGCAGTAACTTACTGTTCTAATATAATAAGAGCTTTAGTGTGTGTGTGTGTCTGACTGTCTGTAATGCTTTATTCACACTGATTGGTTGTCTGAGCAGGCAATCACAATGCTAACTGAAACAACCAATCAAAGTGCTCTGCACAAACAGACACACATGGCGGAGTCCTGCCTTGATGGCAGGGACTGAGAGGCCGGAGCGGGGGGGACAAAGCCAGCAGCACCTTGGATGCAGCAGCAGTGTGGGGTGCTGGCAGCACAGCACTGGCCTCACCCCCCAGCTCCAATCTCACTGCTGCATCCAAGGGGTGGCCACCCCCCACCCCCCCCCGCAGACAGAGAGGAGCAGGGGATGGGGCCACATAGAGGGGGTGGGGGAGGGCCCACAGGGCTGGAGGTGGAGTGGCAGCACTGTGAGGCACTTGGGGGGGGTGGTTTGTCCCCACCCCCCCTGCCATCATTCATGATGAGCAATTTGCTAGCTTAGGTATATTACTCAATTCAAGAAAGCACCACTGTTGAGAATAGCACTAAATCAGGTGCTTAGG